CCATTGATTTACAGAGAACAGCTTTATATAACCATCTAGTCGACATCGAAATACTTTGACAAGCATTTCTTGAACGTAACATCAAAAGAAACTCGACCTTTGATTGTCTCGCTCTAGTCCTCTGGTTCCTGTTTTTTAGAGACTCCTTAAAAACAGTCGACTTATTATATTGCGACAAACACACGCTTCCCATGGCTAGCTGTAGGACAATATTTTATTATAATATTTTTATACTAATCAGATCCCCGCATTGGGGTGAAACAAATATGCAGTCAGTAGCTTAGTCTTATCGCAGCCGTTTTCTGTGGTAGATCACACCAATAAGATCGCGCATCAAATGCCTTGGACATCGTTATATCTTATGTAGCATATACACGCAGGGTGTACAATCTCATGTTGCATACATACAGTCGCATCATTTGGTGTGTATTTAAGCATGTGATAATTTTCATAGTAAATAGTAAATATTCATAGTAAATATTCCATGTGTTCGTGGTGATGAGTTGTGTTCATTTTGACAGACTTCACCTCATCACGTGTCAACTCCTAGTAGCATAGACTAATAAAATACCCTGGGGATATGCAAACTATGACTGTAAAAGGCCACGTCGGGCACACCCCTTACACTCGACTCTAGGCCACCGTTATGACTAGATCTAGCGACCGCCCTCCCACCCCGTGACGAAACCGGGTTTTTAGAGTGCATCCTCCAGACTTTCCGTCTGGTTTGGGCTTTTCCCAAGCCAGGGCGATTCCCCATACCTTATTACCTAACATGAATAAAATACCCAGGGCAGAATACTATATTATGGGTAAAACTTGCGAATGTGTCAAATGAGCATGATATGGATGGTAACTATATCAATAACGTGCGCGTATGAAGCTAAATGAATTTCACGCAAATAACAGATAAAAATGTGACAGACAGTTTTCAACTCATCTTTCTTGTCTATCAAACGTGGGTTCTTTCCCAAGGGCTAATAAATATAATCAAGGTAGGGTTCCGCTGATGTATCCCCTATTAGGGATGCACGAGAGTACCCAAACTCCTGGGGCCGAAAACGGAAGTCAGGTGGATCACAAGCAAAATAATTACGCAATCCAGACACGAAAACTAAGTCAGTACAAGATTCCTCAAGGTTACTTCTATCTTGATATCAGATTCTTCTTGTATCTTAGAGCCTGCTTACATGGAGGTGGGGGACCCCAGGTAGGTGAGGTAGCCCGCCTAGCCGTGGTCGAAAATTAAAACGCGTTTACATGCAATCTTACAACCCCGGGGTGCTGGGGTGAGGTTTCATGAGGTTGTTTTTGCGCTTGCAATTAAGGAGTTTGACCAGAGACGTCCCAAGCTCACATCTCGAAAAAGACGAAAGATTATTTCTCAGACATATATGTATTTATTCATGAAAGCGTCACGCGTTGTGTTACGTGGTGTTAAGTTTCGCGAGGAACCGTTGACGTAATACGTTATAATGAATAGTTTGGGAAACCAAATATGGTCGATTTACGACGCTAAATATTCCGAAATGTGAACATTTTACACTCCGTTGCGGTTTCTGATGATTTCTGCCATGAGACGGCTAAGAAATGTACAAAGTTTTAGAACATACAAGTTTCGCTTTTGAGCTTTTTGCCATGAACGCGAGCCCGGCTAGGCGGGTTACCCCACCTTGACACGTTTACATGACAAAATGTCACCCCGGCTGACAGGGTTACCCTACCTGGCAAACT